TATGAATAAAGAGATAAAACCCATAAAAGAAAATAATGTTTGAGAACTTATTACATTGCCTGAAGGTGTGAAACTCATTGGTTGTAAATGGATATTTAAAACTAGAGGAATTCTAAGGGTGATGTGAAGAGATATGGGGCTTGTTTTGTAGCAAATGGCTTTACTTAAAATGAAGGCATTGATTTTAAACAGATTTTCTTTCCGATTCTTGTGAAAGACTCTTTTAGAATTATTATAGGACTAGTGACACATATTTATCTAAGCTACATTAGACGATTTACAAACTAAAGAAACCCATCTATGAGCTTAAGCAGGCTTCTCGTCAATGGCAATACAAATTTCATCAAATTATTATCTTGTTTGGCTTTGAAATAAACGCAATTGATAATTTATATTACAAGTTAAGTGGGAGTAACTATATTTTTCTAATATTGTATGTTGATGATATACTGCTTGTCTGCAATTATATAGGCTTATTGTACAAAATAAAAATATTTTTGTCATAGAATTTTGAAATAAAAGATCATGGCAAAGCCTCTTTTGTAATTCAAGTATATATTAAAGGCTATCTTAAAGTTAAGCACATTTAATGTAATCTAATAAAGAATGGGGAAATTACATAATACCAAGGCTTTAAATATCACAATTCAAAAATCACGCCGGAAGTTTCATTATTCAGAAATCAGGTATTAATTTAATAATTTAAATATTAAATATTTCACCCAAATTCGATTTCAACCCTAATTCGTTTCTCTCTCTACCATCTGTATTCTCTCCCTTCTCTCTACCATAAAACACCATCGTTGCCACCGGCGACGGCGGTGATTCACGGTGGCGGCGAAGCTCTAAAGCAACCTTGGGCGACTATTCTTTTTGTTTCTCTCTGTGGTGTAAGCTGGAGACATGTGGGTATTGTTTTCTCTCTGTGGTGTAAGTGGGGACAGCGTCGCGACGGTATGGTGTGGTGTGCTACGCATTTGGCCTTCCTCTGCCATCTTTTCCTTAATCTTTCTCTCACACTCACTTTCTCTGCATGTTTTTTGAGTACGGATTAAAGGGTTTTTGTCTCCAAAATTTTCTCAAAACTACCGAAACAAAAGGAAGGCACAGAAGCACAAATATTGCTTGCGTGTACTTACTTTCATTTTCCTGCAATTAATTTTAAACCAAAGGTTCAATTCTTGTTTTCGAAGCTATATTTTATACAATATACTAATTAGCTTTGCTTTCAGGGAACAGTAAGGGTGCATTTGGCGCCATAAGCTTGAAGTCGTTGATTTGGAATAAGGATTATGAAAATTTTAAAACATCAACTACCAAAACCCCATTTGATTCTGTCAATATGACAAAAGGGGATTTTAATTGTTTTTTTTTCTTTTGATATATGGGATATTGCTACTGGATTAAGTTTTTTAAAAATGGAACCAACAATGTTAATGTATATCCAAAGTTAGATTTTCCTTTTCACTATTGAAAAGGGCAGCATCAAGTGGGGTTTAGTGTATTTATAGTGATACAGATGGCAGGCATGTGCCATTGCTGCCTACTGCATAGTACCTTCTAGTCTTACTTTGTGGGGACAGTAATGTTGATTTTTTGATTTAGTGCATAGAAGTCATTAGATAATTTGTGTGGTGGTGTGGTGCAGTTGGTCATTGTGTTTTGGTAATCGTTTTTGTTGTTGTTGCCTGTGGTTGTGGTGGTGTTGTGATGGGATGAAATGTAATAGAGACTGTTGTGACAAATTATTTGGTTGCTCCGTGATCAAGTATTGGTAGTGAATTGAGATCGCGAATGGAGTTTTTGGTGTATGTGATAAATGATTTGGCATGTGATCTTTACAAAAAAAAATCTGTGACCAATAAATGTGAAAATATGCGACCCCACGAATAAACTGTGACTAGTAATTTGAATAATTTGTGACCTACAAAATTTTTTATTTATGACCACGAAATAATTCGTGACAAATTAATTTGATGATATGTGATCAGTAAATAAATCTGTGATCTATAATTATGAATTTGTGACAATTAATTGTATAATTGTGACTTTATTATATTTATTTAATAAATATTTTTAATTAATTAAATATATACTTTAATTTTGAATTTTTAAACTATTTACCGAATTTTTGAATTGGTGAAAATAATATACCTAGATTATGAATTTTTTTTCCATAAAGAATTAAAGTTATGGACTTTGGACATCTAATCAAAATATGAACCAAATACGTGTAGAGATCGGATCCATTAGAGTTGTATTTCATGATAGACCAAAAATACATATGAAAACAGTAAATAGGGTTATGGTCTCCATTTCATATGCGATTCTTATTCTTTGTGTTAGCCCATCAATACAAGAATATCAAGAGAAAACATATTGAAGGAAGATTCAAAATCCACAATCAAAATCAATAATCAAGAAGAAGATATTGAAACAATCAAGATTATGGATCAAAAGTCAAGAACACGAATTCAAGAATCAAAAGAGTCAATATTCAAGATTAAAGATCAAGAAGCCAAACATAAAAAGATTGTTGTTGATCTCCAAAATTCAAGATCCGAAATCATGACCCAATCATAAAAATCATTCCCAATGAATTAAAATATGTTCCACATTTAATAATTCTCTTGGTGATTTCACTGAAGGATTTTAACAATAAAATAATTAGATTTTCAAGTTCTTGAGATTCATGAAGTTTAAAGTTCTATAAAATTCTAACAAGAATGCCTCAAGCACAACCATTGATCAACACAGACTAGACAAGTGATGTAATGAACTTTTTCCGATTGTGTTTTGTTAACATTAACTTAAAATTGTGACCTATATATGTCCCTTATGTTACTTAGTTTTTTTCAAATGAAATTCAACAATTTTGAACCACAAATTGCTTGATTTCCATTTTGGTTGTACGTGTAAAAAACATACAATGACGATGACATAGATGTGGCGGAGAGGTTGAACGAAATAAGGTAGAAGAATGATAGTTTGTTTCTCTCTAAAAAAAAATTTTAATATAGTAAAAGATATGAATTATTTTCAAAATAAAATTTTGAAATATAAAATCAATTAAAAATTGGCACAATTAACAGGATTTTGTTTTAAATAAAAATAATTACTAAAAATGTATTTAGAATATTTATAATTTAAAAATACTTAATTTCTACAAAATATAAAATTTTACCTGATTTTCTATTATAGAAGAATAATGTTATTTAACAACACTTGTGTTACACCATCAGTTTAAATGACACTAAATGTCATTAAATAAAATGTACAATTAAATGAATCATATAATTTTACCTTTAATTGATCATGTCACATAATAGTCTATAAACTGGTGTCATGGGTACTAGATAACATTATTCATTATGGAAACTTAGAAACATGATTCGTTAAATTTTCTCATTAATGTTTGACAAGAATGTCTTAGGGTTTGTTTGAGCCTCATTTTTTCGGAAATTTAAATTTTTTAATAGTAATATGGTAAAAAATTAGGAAAAAAAAATAAGTTTACATGTAAAATTATTTATTAGGAAAATGAAATGTTAGAAATGAATTTTAAAGCTTTAAAGATGTGGAAATTACATAATCCCAATTGTTTAAAGATTATAATTCAAAAATCAGGGTTGAAGTTTCATCATTAATAAATCAGGTATCAAAATACTCCTCACCCACTCCATCTAACAAAACCCTAATTCATTTCCCAATTCTCTCTCCCCACTCTTGACCCACCATCTCTCTCCCGTGGTGAGCCTCCTCACCTCCCTACATCCTCTATGTACCAACCATCACCTCTCTCCAGCAATCATGGACTCCTCATCTTCCTGTCGTCTCCGCCCACTGTTGTCTCCAGCCCAATCACCTACCCTCAATCCATATTGCCCCAAAAGGAAAGTGAAATGCCTACTAGAAAGAATGCGAATCATCGCGAATTGCGACGGTTAATTGACTTTGTGCGTGCCCCGATTTGAACTCATTAGATTGAGAGAGAAGGGGAAATAAGCGAAGCTGTTTGCAACGTAGCGCGGTGAAGCAGAAACAGATCCACACGCTTACTGCGACAACTTTTCACGTTGTGTTGCTGCTCCGACGGTGCACTAGAGATTTGGATGGTATGTTTGTGTGGTGATGATGATGGTGATTTTGTGGTAGTGGATCTAACGGTTTCGGGTGGCTTATATTGAATTTGGTTGTGGCAGGGGTGGTGGTGGTGGTGTGTTTGTGGCAAGGGATGGTGGTAGCTTTTGTTGGTTGTGTAGTTAGAAGTATTGGCGGCGATGATTTTTGTGTGGAGGTGCAGGTGAAGGTGTTAACCGTGGTGGCGATCATAGGTTGCGGTGGCGGTTGACGATGGTGATACCAGTGGTATTGGCGATGGTCTTAGGGTAATGGTGGTTACAAGTGGTGGTGGCGATGGTATGTGACCCAATATTTGGTATATGTGACCAATTGTTGGTTATCGCGATTAAGTATTAAATCGTGACCTTAAAATTTGAAAATTTGTAACTGAAAAATAATTTGTGACCAACAAATTTGAAAATATGTGACTGACATATAAATTGTGACCTATAATTTTTTTTTTTTTTTTGAAACCAATAGAATAAACTGCGACCTATAATTTTGTAATTTGTGATTTCGAAATAATCTGTGACCTACAAACTTATTGATTTGTGACATCAAAATTATGTTTGACTGATTAATTTGATAATATGTGACTGATAAATTAGTTGTGACCAATAATTATGTATATGTGATCATAATTGTATAATCGTGATTTTATTATATTTAATTAATAAATATTTTTAATTAATTAGCTAATATTTGAATTTTGCATTTTAAAACTTGACACCTGAAAATTGAATTGTGACAAAAGTTAACACCTGACTTTTGATTTTTTCCTTTTAAAGATTGTAAGTGAAACATGGACTTACTTTGGACTACAATCACGTGTGCTCTTTCCGTTGCTATATTGGGTCTGGGCCTTCTAACCAGTGTTAAACAAACGACGCGCTTATCTTGTTATTGTGTTGGGCAAATAAAAGGGCCAGTGATCGGTACCCTATTAGGTTCTCGCCTTCTCTGTCACCACACTTCCTCTCGTGACATTATTGACAGCCGCTCTCCGCCGTTTCCTCTCTACACTTCCGATGGTAGTCTACCACTCTCCTCTCTCTTCAGCCTTTACATCAATACGCTCTTGTAGGTATAATTTGGTTTAATTTATTTGGATGGATGCAGGCGCCGAAGAAGGATAAGGCTCCCCCTCCATCGTCCAAGCCAGCAAAATCTGGTGGTGGAAAGCAGAAAAAGAAGGTCGGCACAATTTGTTATACGTATATGTGTGTGTGTTACTAAATACTATGCTATACTTATATGTGTGTGGTGGTGTGTTTGTAAAATGAGCAGAAGTGGAGCAAGGGAAAGCAAAAGGAGAAGGTAAACAATATGGTGTTGTTCGACAAGGCGACATACGACAAGCTGCTCTCTGAGGCTCCCAAATACAAGCTTATCACCCCTTCTGTACTCTCCGATCGTCTCAGGGTAATTAATGAATAGATCTATTTTGTAATTTTATTTTCGCAGTTCATGCCCTTGGATCTACATAGTTGCTGTTTAGTCATATCCAGAAATGCAGTATCATAATTCATAATTGTATTAAAATTGAGTTGATTTTTCCTTATCGCATTTACATGCTAGGTGCAACATGTGTGTCTATCAATCATGTTTAGTCTTTGCTGGTTATAGAAGCTCAAATGAAATAAGTTCTGATGGTACTGTTGGTAATGATTAAAAAGCTAAACAATCTGCTTGTTTAACAGCTAGAGCCATTGTTTGCCATTTTGGGGAAAAAATGTTTTTTGGAATAGTTATGTTTTTGGAGAATGTGTGGTTCAAAAATAAGAAAAGTTTTCGGTTTACGTCTAAAATTATTTTATTGGAGAATATGTTGTTGAAAATGAGTTTTTGAAACAATGGGGCTCAAAATGTGTGCTATTTATGAACATCATCACACTTCCTGTGGATAGTTATGATTATTGCATCAATTTTTCTCTTTCAAACTGTGCTTGTCGATCCCACGAAGGAGGACCCCCTGTGTTCTTGTTATGCATGTTCTATATTTCTGGTGAATCCCTTAAAAAAGATGCGTTACATGCTTAACACTTGATCTCTGCTAATTTGTGCAGTATTTTAACATGTTATAAACACTTTCTGGTCTCTTGCTAAGCTAGACACAACACTTGTAGGTTTTAGCAATAATGTCAATTAAATATTAAATATGTAATCCATCTTTTGGTTTGCAATGGCAAGTTGAATACCACATCTAAGACATTTCTCTGTGTTTAATATTCACAGAAGCCTAAATCTCTTTTCTCTATTATATTTCTTACTCCTAATTTGATTTCTTGATCCAACATTACAGATTAGTGGATCACTTGCAAGGAAGGCAATCAGAGAATTGATGGCTAGAGGTTTGATCAGAATGGTGTCGGCCCATTCAAGCCAACAGATATATACTAGGGCAACCAACACTTAATGGTTTCATTTTCTTGCTTAGAGAGCTTGATGAATTTTGTTGCTTAGACTTGCGTTGTGTTTCCTTAAGCTCAAGTTTATATGTGCAAGATATTAGGACACATCCGGCTAGTTAACTACATATTTACCATTAAATTGTTGAGCTTTATCCCTTTTGCATGTTGATTGGTGATTTATTCAACTTTCTTGGCAGTTTTCTTCCTATAATTTCGTCAATGTTACCTGAAAGTGTATGTGGACTAGTGGTAATTTCAGCATGGATGCGGCTTTTGAAATGTGAGCTAACATGTTCAACGGTAGGAAGCTACTGGTTTACTAGTGCTTTGATTGCTTTGTACTGCACCCTTTAATCCAGTTGATTAGTTTTATTCTTATTTTAGTTTGTCAAGACACTGGCCTGAACTTGAATCTCTTATGGGATTAGCTTGTCTAAATTGCTGATTAGTTAATGCACCATGGTGGGTAAAGGTTGACCAAAATTTTTCTTTGAGGGGCACGCATCAACTGGGTTTTCTGGTTTGTTCTGCTGGGTAGAAATCTCTTGCAGCAGAATAATGACTCATTCAGACTTGTTTATTGTCATGCTATCATATTTCACCCAAAACCAAAAGGAATTAGACTAGATTGAACAAATAAAATCCCACTCGTCAGCTAATTTTGTACTATCTGGCATATGGATGGGAGAAATTCCCAGTTTCCTGTAGTAAAAAATTAGATTAAAGAAGCTTTATCATTTCATTGCATATCTACATGAATATGCTCTTTGTAGACCGCCGCATCTCCATTAAGCATGAAAAATATTGCTTTAACACAAACAATATTTTCGACTTCTGGTGGTGCTTAAAACCTTGGACGGATAAGATGTGATTCTTTCGTCATAAAAGAAGCAGGCATTGTCATGCTTTACCACTGTTGGAAGCATAATGCCCTTAATGATGGAGAAAACTCATCGAGCCAATGTTCAAGCACCAGAACCTACCTCACCCTTGGGCCAAAAAGGATTAAGAGGTCTGGAAGAAATTAATTAGTCGGTTTCTCAATGGTATCATTGTCATACAGAAGGAAGAGATTCAAGTTTCTTGCCATTGCATCCCACAACATCAAAACTAAGAATCTAGATATATACAAACAAAAGAAACCATAAGACTTACTTTTCATCCAATGAACAATCCTAGAACAAAACAGCAGAAAGATACGGATATGGTTTAAGACAGTTAATGTATATCAAAGAGTAGCCAAGTCATCTAATTTGTTCAGTCAAGTACTGATCTCCCCTTCTGTCTTTCCACAGGCAGGAGAAAGAAGAGAAATGCTACACTTACAAAAGTCTTTTAACAGAATTTGACCAGACAATACATAACATGGGTTGGGTGTTGGGTGTGTGATTTTTTGGCATTATTTTATCACCCACATGGAGCCCACCATGTGCATAATCTGGAGATTTCTGTAGCCTTCATTCTGTACAAAGGGCAAAAGCCGAGAAAGAAGGATTATCGAGTAAACATAGTTTTACAAATCTTCAGTTCGAAGTTGGGATGAAAAGCACGGATCCAAGCTTGCCACTAACCGAAGTAACCAATGCCAGCGTAGATAAACACTCGCAAATGCCTGCCTATCCAAGAAACATGGCATGTCTAGTACTTCTGTCACTCTACTGAAAGAGGTTTCATTTTCAGGCGACTGCATACAGAATAAGTGGAACACTTGCTAATATAATACAGGCTCTCAAACTCCTATTATTTTCAAAATTACTATATCTATTCAATGCAAAGAGTATGTCACTTGAATCTTCGACACCATCAGGGTAAACTCATTACTTGGTGAAAAAGTGAAATCAAATGCAAAATAGAGGGAGGATTTGTCAGTACTGGACACTAATAGCAAAATCTTTTGTCATATTGTCCTGTCAATGAGTGCTATGTACCAAACATGAAGTATTTTCAGAAAGCTCCAGTGTTCCAAGTGACAGAATAACCCCTCTTTAGGGGCTCGCAAGGTTCAAAATGGGTCCCCATCAGTGCCACAGCAGCAATACTCAGAAACTGCTTCTTTTGAACGTCCTCCAATGCCAACTTAGAACATTGTGGTTCACAAACTACGACTACCTCGGGCTTCTTTCGAGGACTCCCAAATCCTTTGTGTAGCCACCATTGAACCCAAGAATGTGAGAGCAGAAGTTTTTTACCTTCCTTTGACAGGCCCATGAAAGAGGCCTTGTCTTTTCTTGGAAAGTCTCCAATCTTGTCTGACCACATTAACATTTTCTCAAGTTGTTTAACCACTGCCGGTTCTGAGCTAGTTATGCTATCTGTAACAGTTCTACCGAAGAGCCTTTTCACTTTTTCAAGAGACGGGTTTTTGCCAAGAGCAAAGCTAGACTTAAAGAAAAAATGGTACAGGGCCTTTACAGAACACACACATATCAAGGTGGGTGGGTCATTTTTTACAATATTTTAATACACGTGGGATCCACCAGATGTGAGGGTCTGTAATCTTTCTGTAAAAATTAATTCTGTACGTTCAATTTTTTCCTTTTGCCAAAATCCAAACTCTGCGTGCCACGGGCCCACGAGCATAGGAATATGATGCACTCCCCATAAGACGTTTAACCCATCCAATTGTTGGATCGTTTTTCAGAGAATCATCTGATGAGATAACATGTTTTGAAGTACTGGGCTGCTCAGCATCCGCCAAAAGCAGGTCCATATCTAAATTTCGAGTCCTTGAAGAGCTTGGCCCCGCATCATTAGACGAACTCGCTACAGCTGGCAAGGCTGGAAGCTCTAAATTTATATATCAGGCAACTCAGTTTTCTATACATTATTACATTGTAATAGGCATGCATGTGTATTTTTTACAGTTCCATATGATATATAATTTTTGCTTGGTTTAAATTAAACTTGCAATGTTTTGATCCTTTTGGAATGCTTTCATCAAGGGAGGAAAGATCTCGTGGTGGTTGATAATGATGAATATGACCATGAAAATGAGGAGATTGGAAGTAGTGATAGTGAAGGATGCAAAAGAAGCCGCCCAAGGGGACACTGATGAAGAACGCGAGCGGTAGTTGCTTAATGAGTAAAAGTTAATTAAATATGGTTTCCAGCTTGAAAAGTGTGGCTATGTTTTTTATGCCTTCACGAACTAAACTTGCATTGCTTTCAGGTACGAGCAAGTGGACAAGTCACTTGAAGACTACGAAAAATATGGCTGAACAGGAAGGAAGAATGACGTGGAGGAAACAAGCCTGTTCCGATGGTGATCAACTGTTCGATGTATTCTACGTTTTCCCCTATCCCAACACACATGCACCCAGAAACAAAGACGCGTGCAATCCAGTTAATGCTCTTCTTTGCAAATTGGAGACGACAATAATATGGTTCATTATGATAAATACTTGGGCAAGGGAGACGAGGTGAATCCCCTCATGGTACCACTCTTCGAAAATGCACCAAGTCAGAAAGAGATTGCAGCAAAATGGTTCAGTGAAGATGTCTTCACTGATGCCGATGCAAGAGAGGATCTGAAGTACGATGATAGCAAAGATAAAATGCAGGTGGATGTTAGGAAAATACAATTGAAGATCCACCCGAACAACCAATAGGTCCAAAAAAGACATTGAGTGAACTACATTACAGACAGCAAAAGCTTCCAAGATAGACAATGATTTTGAGATAGTTCCTGCTTCGGATACTGATTCTAGTGATTCGTCATCATCGGATAACTAAGACGAAGACGAAGACAGAAATGATTCAAGAGTGGAGATATTGGCTTGTGCAAAAAAGTTGCTGAGATGAAGTAACGGGAACAGATTCTTGATGACGTATACAACGTGTGTTAGATGATGAGGTTTGCGGCCAAGGAAAAGAGGCATTACCAGCCAATTAAGCCAGTGACAAAAGAGGAGATTTTTGCAATGAAAGCACAATTCAAAGAAATTGATGCACGACCTTCTAAGAAGGTGGCCGATTCCAAAGCTTGAAAGAAACAAGCAGCTCATAGGCAGCTAGAGAAGGGAAGGAAGAAGGCAAACATTATATCTGACCAGGTGGATATCTCCGATCTTTCAGAGAGGAAAAAGGTTGAATAGCTATATAAGAAGGCAACACCAAATAAACCTAATAAAGAATATGTGGTGGCAGAGTGGGATGTCCACGTCAAGGCTGGCAAGGGGGAAGTTCTTGCTGATCAAAGAACAAAAAAGGATGGCAGGAAGCATGGAATAAACAAGCAGGGGGAAAGAAAAGAAGGGAAACGGAAAAGAGGGAAATAAAATGAAGTAGAGGAAAATGTGTTTAAATATGGGGAAACTGCATGGGATGGTTGATCGGTGGTAGGTTAGGTTTTCCGCAAATGTCAGATAGGAAGGAGACAGTGATCCACAATAATTGAATCGAGTTTAGACTGCAAATTTGCTCCGTGGTGAGTTTCTGGCGTACTCATTAATCCAAAGGAGGAATTGAGTTCTAAGGCAGATTAGAGATGAAATATGCACATAGAATGTCCAACAGTGAAGTTTTGAAGGAAATACAATATACATAAAAAAAGTTAAAAGAAAGGTGCAAATAATGGCAATACACCTTAAACGACTTTATTCCTGTCCAACCTGATAATATTCTACTTATTAGTGTCCACACTAACATACTACGGTAGATTAAATGCACCCTATAGGACATGTTTTAGATATTACAAAGGAAAAGAAATCTGTAACAGTATTTGTCAGCAGATTGCTCAAAAAAATGCATGGATTAAAAGTCACTTAAGCTAGACAGTCAGCAGTGTGCTGTCAACATTACATGAATTGACAAAAGATGTTTACAGTTTGATCATATCAAAAAATTTGAGGGGAAATACAATCCTGTAGATTGTATCAAATTTGAGTGACTTACAATAGGGTATCCAAATATTCGCTTACTGTGGTGTATTTGATATGTGGATACAGCCTCGATCCTTCGAGAGATGAGTCTATGTCGAAGTATGTATGATCTCCCTTTACAAATGCAGAGTATATGAAGAGAAGCTCCCAGTTGTACGGATACGGTCTTTCTGAATTGCAATGACAGATAGTCTTAGTATATAGGACCTCTTTTGAAATAACTCACGACAGAGATAATAATTACGTTAAATCAAGAAAAGGAACCTAATAAACAAGTAAAATTATCTTCCAAGATTTTTCGTGCATTTCTTTCCACATTTTCAATCAGTTCCTTCTATTATTGATGAACTGAGACCAGGCTTTGGCTAGTTTACTTTCCAACTAAAGCTAACACAATCACATTATAAACAAGAAATAAACTGCTCACATATAAAAAAAATCCCCCTCCCCCATAATAATCAAATTCCTCATGGAGCAGCACATGAAAAACTAATTTTGTAGCATCTTTGTCCCTCATTTACAGGGGATGATTAAACTAAATTAGGCAAACAAAACAGCACCTTTATAAGTTAAACATACCTCTGAAAGCTTCTAAGTTAATAGCAACATACCTTGAATTTTCTTCAGAAGCTCTTCTTCGGTAACGTAAATCCTCTCAAGATTCTTCCCAATTTTTCTCTCCCAAATCTCAATCAGCTCATTCACAGAGAGAACATTTCCTGGTGGCCTCAAGTATATAGTTCTATTAAGAGTACGTGGATCATCCACTGCACTTATGGTAAAGGCCGCAACATCACTTTGCTTTACAAAAACACCTGTAGGATATGGAAAGACGACATATCACACCAAAGTTCAAAACTATAAGCTTGCTTTCAGAGACCAAGACAATGAGTACATAGGGAGCTGCTAATGAAGAGCAGCACTTCCTGTAGAAGTAAAATACACAGAGAACTGGTAAAAGGAACAAGTTCAGACATATAATGACACCAATTATCATTATTTTACCAATTAAAACGATTGAAGCAGACAAAAATGTGATTGTCAAACCTTTAACATTTCCGTCTCCAAATACTATAGCTTTGTCTGTTGGTGGGGTTATCCGGCCTGGCTGAACTAACGACGGAAGTAAAACGGTCATAAAGAAGTTACAACAAATGTAGGTGTGAGGAATGCCTTCAGCCTCGATAAGGCGCCTAATTTCGGCTTTCCTTGCATAGAAGTTGTTGTCTATGTCAGATACTTGGGTCCTATCTGGATCTGCTCCAAACTCAGATGGAAAAAACCTCTGCAACATTTTGACTTTTATTAGGATACAATTATAATCAAGTTACCATTGTTTTCGAAAGTTAATCCAGGTCCCCCCTCATGTGACTATGCAAGGCTTTCATTGCATGCCTCGAAGCGTACGCTTTATCCCCGTCAACAAGACTTACGCCTCAATAAACTGAGTCTCATGTCTCAACGTACTAAGACTTAGCGTAAGCATTAGGAGACAGAGAATGCGCTCATTTCATGTACTTTTGGACGTAATATTATTGGCCCCAGCTTCCTGGACTACTTTTTTAAAGCCTAGAATGCTTTATGGGTTTTTTGGCTATCTTTTTCATAGGACTTCCACGTTTTCGTAATTTATTTATTTATTTATTTATTTTTTCACTTGAGGCTTACAACTCGAAATGCCTCAAGGCCTCACCTCAGATGGGTAAAAAGCTTCTGTGACCGATTAAGCTTTATAAACATAAGAGCGAGGGAGATCGGCATAACTGAGTCAAGGATCTTGTTTTACGATACAATTAGGCAGCCAAAAACCACCCGACAACAGCCACCGAATCAACCATCCTAATCCAACTCTTGTTATAGTAACTAGGGAATGGTATCATATATAGATGTGTTAGTTGGACAAGTATACAGGCACTCAATCAGTCTCAAAAAGATTTCATGCTCCGCAAAGCTCAAAAAAGGATACTAATCTTCAACAAGCTTTTAGCTTCCTGTCAAATGATTAATTTACTTATTTGCAACTTTGACAATTAAAAAAATATGAAATTATTTACTCATAAGTGAACCCAGTCTAATAGGAATATAAGCACAGTGGGAAATAGTAATATTGACCTTGATGCAACCTGCTTGCTTAATAGCTGGAATAAGCAACTTCTGGTCAAGCACTTGCATAGAGGAAACAGCGCAAATTACAACATCGACTTGCTTGATCGCTTCAATTAAGTTCATTTCATCTTGCAATGAACCCTAGCATACGAATCCAATTTTATTTTTATTTTTTTTTTAAAAAAAGGACAATTCTTAAAATTGAGCTCATTTCACAATAATTGAGACGAAAAAGAGGAGGAAGAATCGTTAAAAAAAATGTGATTGAACCTTAAGAAGTGTGACTCCAGAATCCAACAGGAATTGGATTTTGTGGAGTTTGTTTGGATCAGAGAAAGCGGAGGCTCTGACAAGCCCGAAAGTCGGATGAGAAGCATTTATACTGGCTTTGGCTATTTCCAGCCCTAGATTGCCTGTTATTCCGATTATCAATATCTTGCTCTTGCTTGACGCCATTGATTTTCTCGGTTCAGCCTGCTTCTTCCTTAGTGCGGAGCCTTTTGCTGGGGTGTATAGTTTCGTAAAATAATTTCACGGCGCCTGAAATAGGACAACAATGCTGTTTATACAAAGACAGGTTACACAATTGGATGACAAAATGATGTGGACGGCTAAGATGGTAGAAACATGGACGGTTGTGATTGAATTTTAATGAGGCGCCAAAATGGAAAAGGGAGCAGTCTACGTGATTGATACGTACCAAAAAAAAAAGTGACAACACAAAAATGTCGGTAGTGGACAATTGAATTTTTTCTCTCTTCAGTTCTCCCAAATCAGTTCATCTTCCACCCATTTCCTCCCAAAAAATGAAATCACGGAAATTATTTGTTTCATGCATAACCTAATGCATATAAAATGAAGATAAAAAAGAGAGCCTGAAATCCTGCCATAGTCTTCCCATTCACCATATACTGAGGCTGAAAATAGGCAGCGAAAATAGGTAAAAATTTTCGAATAAGTTGAATGGTTCTTCGTGTGAGATACAAATTACATCTGATTGAATCTTAAATCGTCCGTGATCGTAAGTAATAACGAGATACGGATATCGTTATTACGGATAGACTATCGTGTGTGGCATTTCTTACTTGTGAAGTAAGCAACTGATCTCACAAGCTAAGATCTGGTGACACTTAAATAAACACGTTGATGTTTTGTTATATAACAAAACATTGAAGATCCGTCGAGATATTCCGCATGGATAACTATCTGAATGTCAGTGGTTAATCTCTGACGTTCGGTAGTGGAATTGGTCTTTTGACTTGAGGTCGTCATGGTACCTTATATGAGGACAGTCATACTTTGGCGGTGTTGGATATTGTTCTGCAAAGGGCCGCTAATACGACATCGTTCTGGTACGTCAAGAATCGTATGAAGGTTGTGATTGACCAATAAAGGATTCATCACTCTTAAATAGTAAGAGTTTATGATCTGCATTTCATTCAATTAAGTTGATAACGATATCTTTGGCCAATGTGTACTCATAAGTCGAAAAGAAGTTTTCGACTTATATTGACTTAATAGTGGAGTAAAAGATATGATCAATATTTGGGATTAACACGATTCCATATCTCGTAATTGATAGGATCATATTGACGAAGAGATTATAGTTTCACGGTAAACGAACGAATTTGGTTTTGTCATACCACATAACATTTCCCGTTACATGTATTGCCCTGACACATTGCTAGATTTCAATCTGGGACGGCGAGTGTGAATTGATGATAAATTAAAATAGTGTTTTAATCCATCAATTTTGATTAGATCAAAATAATATTTCACATTGTTAGGTATCGTGATCGGAAACCTAATGGGTCGCACACAAAAGAGAATTGTAAGATTGCAATTTGTCAATTAATTAATTTAACAATCATTGGATAAATTAATTAATTGGATTGGTTATTTATATGCCCAAATTAATTAATTGGATTAATTAATTTACGGACCGAATTTAATTAAATGAATTAATTAAATATTGGATCAGACTGGGTCAATCCCGTTTGGGCTTATATAAATATATGGCTAGGGTTTTCAATCCGGGTGGTTTTTCTCATAATTATTCTTATTAGCACAAGAGAAGAAAATCCTGGTAGCTGCAATCTTGTTCTCTGTGTGGATCACCGTTGGAGGCTAGACAATTGGACAGTTGTGGGTGGCGAATCAAGATTGTTGGAACGAAAAGAAAATCAAAAAGTTTGCAGAATTCTTCAAAGGTACAATCTTTATCACGATTTCTATATAAACACAAAGGGATCCTTGGTGGGAATCGAAATAATTTTAATTTTTCGCTGTGCATGTATAAATAGATTCTCAACAGTGGTATCAGAGCCTACTTTGTGTTTGTTAGAAATTGTCTTGAATATGTAAAAAATCAAAAGTTGATTTTGTTCAGTTTCTAGTTTCTAGCAATTTATGAAATTTGATTTTCATTGTTTTAAATCTGATTTAAATGGTATAATAAAATTTTTTTTTTATTTTTAGGGATGCCGACAGCAACAGTTGCTGTCGGCGATGGCGGCGCTGCTACTGTGTAATAGCAGCAGCACCGGTGCGCTGCTGGCTATAGTAAATGCCACCGGCAGGTGTGGCACAATGAGTTAACAGCGTCGTTGCCTCGCTGTGCAGGCGAGTGGCGGTGAGTCGCCAACAGCGTGTTGCAGCGCCGAGCGCTACAATAGTGCAGCCCGCGCGCAGCGCTGCAGCAGGCCGGCAGCCCGCGCCGCCCTTTCCAGGAAGAAAGGAGAGAGAAAGAAGAAGGCAGCCAAGGGTTTTTAGTTGATATCTCGTTTAGGGTGAATTGGAGGCGGGGGCCTCTGACGCAATTTGTGAAATTGCAGGCCTCCGTTTGCAATATACAATTTAGGGTCAGTTTGTAAATTATTTAAGTGATGGTAGTTCTTGCAGTATTTGATATTGAGGACCCCTTTCCTGCAATTCCATTTTCGGGGTCTGATTGCAATTAATGAATGATAGGGCTTCTCTGCAATTTCTTTATTTGGGAGGTCCAGATTATAAATTCAAGTTTTGGTCAAAATACAATTTCAAAATAGTTTTGAATTTATATTTTGGAATACTTTTAAATTTGATTTTAATGGGTTTGACCTATAAATTTAATTTTGACCCACATTGAAATTCTATTTAAAATTGACGATTTTTTATATTTTCGTTGAAGTATGATTTTAACTTAAATATTATTTGACCCCCAAATAGAATTTTATTTTATTTAGGATTGTTATCCTATATTAAAATATTAATTCTATTAAAATTAGAGTTTGACTCTAATTTAATACTTCATTAAAATTTAATTTTAATTAATTATTCACCCAAATATGTTATCGAAGTTAGAATTGGATTCTAATTGACATTTAATTAAAATTTGATTTTAATTAAATTGTCTCACCTTAAATTTCCTTTTGGAATTAGAGTTTTACTCTAATTTGCTATTTAATTAAAATTTGATTTTAATTAAATCAATTCACCCTAAAATTTGTTCCAATCAGAGTTGGGCTCTAATTTGGTATTTAATTAAAATTTTGATTTTAATTAAATTAATTCTCTCTAAATATTGGAATTAGAGTTAGACTCTAGTTTTGTTATTTAATTGAAATTTGATTTTAATTAAATTCAACTGGCTTAAGTTATGAAATTAGAGTTGGACTCTAATGTGATATTTAATTAAAATTTGATTTTAATTAAATTATCTCGCCATATAATTGTTGAATTAGAGTTGGACTCTAATTCGGTATTTAAATAAAATTTGATTTTAATTAAACATGCCGCTAATTAAATAATCGATTAATATGATTAATTAATTATTTAATTGTCCCGATCGATTTGTCTAAAAGAGTTTAGACGACTTAATTGCTAGAAATTTGAAACTAATTTGCATATAATATTAGATATTATATAGGTATACATTTATGTGATGAATGTATTATTAGTGGACGATCATAGATTCGACCATATGGATGTGTTGAATGGTTAATTTTTATTCTTGTCATTTTTCTAGGTCTGCGAGCTCTTAATTGTTTTGAGTCTGCGAGCCCGTTATTATTGTTATTATTTTGGGCCTGTGAGCTCTTAATCATTTTGGACCTGCGAGTCCGTTATCATTATTGTTGCTATGGGCTTGCGTGCCAACTAGTATAGGAAACAGGTTGCAATTGGACTAATTGAAGAAACAAGAAGAGGAGGAGACCATGGAGATGATGCATTAATACTGATCAATGTAATACCCCATAGGAATTGACCAACTAGTCTTCCTTATGGTTCGAGAAGACTAGATAGTAAAGTCCATAATCGTCCATACTATTATATTATGTTATATATATTTATTTGCATGGTACATGTATAATAATATATATATTACTGTTACAATGAGATATTTGAATGCAAAATTTATCCATGAAATATTAAGTCACATTTATAATCGCCTTCCGTCATTATAGTGAAAAATCAGAGTCCCAAATCATCTCAACTTGTTGAGTACACTCAAGGCTAGTCTATTAATGATATGTTTGATACTATGAAATATTTGATATTTTTGAATGACGGATTTGATTTAACTAAAATTTATTTTTTGTTGAGTACACTCAAAGAGATAAATTTTAGAGGCATATTAAACTAACACATAAGATGTATGAAGACAAAGAGTTGTCAGATTAATGATCTGAAAATTGTATGGAGATATAATTGATAATAGTATCTACCTACCCAAATGTTATATTAAGGCTTGTTGAGTAAACTCAAGGTCTTAGTATAACAGATAGGATCTCAGCCCACTGAGAATCGAGTATAGACTCCATGAATTTATGTGAGAGGGTCATAGATTTGAATTAAACAGTGGGAGCATAATTAATTTAATAAAAATCCATGTTAAATTAATTGATGCATTTTATATATTATCCTTTTTCTTTTTGTCATTTATATTTATTGAATCGTGAGTAGCCATGTGTATTTGAGAGGCATATTGGATGCCAACAACCAAATTAAATCTTCTTGATTGGCACTGCAATTTGAGAATTGTTCTCAAGCATGAGAAAGTTGGTTCTCCTTAAGTAGCCATTTTTTAGAGACATCTGGTGATAACTCAATTAAAGAATATGTGGCTGCTATAATGAACACAGTGATGACAATAGCACTGCAATGTATATAATACCTGCAACTATGTCACTTGAGTTACAAAAGCAACTTGAGAGTATAAATATTAACACATAATTCTTCATTACAAAGAGTTGTATAATAATAATCATGTGTGGAAGGATATGAGACTTTCAAACAACTATACCGATGCAAAGTGACAAAAGAATTTTCAGTCAATTCTCATGTACTAAAGATGATTGACATGAGAAGTGTCTCAATTGAGTTCAATAATCAATTATGAACTAAGTATTGACTTAGCTCTGCAATCTCTGTCATAGAGTTATTCATACTAATTATGAATTATGATATGAATAAGCTCGAATGCATACTCATTAAGTTGCTCGACATGCTTAAGACTATTAAGCCCTTTATCAAAGTTGGTAGTGGGCAAACCATTGATTCTTCTAAGGGTATTAAGATG